ATTTAAGTTCCCCCTAACATCCTGAAACCAAGGGAGAATAGCAAAAATATGAAAATTGAGAAACAGTATCAAAGGCTGAGATGCCAAAAACCATGAGGAACTAAGGTGAATCCAGATCACCACAGAAGAGTTTCAACAGTGGACAGGAGGCTATAAAGGTAAAAATTAGAAAGTACAAGAGCAGACACAAACCGCCTGGCTTCGAAAAGGAGATTTATTTTTTCCTGGCAGTACTGCTTGGTGAATTGTGCATCTCTGAGGGCAAAAGGGAAAAATCAAGTGGAGATGTCATCCCAGCTCTCATCTCCACCAGCCTGAACAATTTCAACAGTTCCTAACCAGTTCCCTGCCTACTCCCTCCCATCCTTTCTCTACAGTGAGCCAGGAGTTCTAAAATCTGGCAATGTCACACCTCTGCATAAAACCCTTCAATGGCTCTGCATTTGCCTACAGAATACATCCCAAACTCCTGAGCATGATATCAGAAGTCCTTCCCAGACTGACCCTCAACCTTCCTTCCCAGCACAATCTTCTACCTTTCTCCATATACCCAGGTATCTGGGGAATGAAGGAAGGTGCTGGAGAAGAGGGGAAGAAGGACCCATAAGAACCAGTAGTGTCCCAAGCACTTCAGACCAGCAATATTTCCTGATGCTTTTTGAACACACATTGTTCCTATTGCCTGAAACGTCCTTTCCTCCTTGTCCCCCAGAACTCAAATAACACCGTCTGTGAGGAACTGCCCTGTGGTGTGTCACTCATTCCTGACCCTTAGTACTTCAAATATCACTATTACAACACTCCACGCATTGCACTGTGATAAATGACTTTTCGATCTGTCAACCACTGCCTTATTTGCTGCACATCTAACCTCTAAAAAAGACTTTCACCCAAGCACTAGGGGAAGAGGCAGGAAACCGGATCACACGTGCAAGCTCTAGCATTTGAGAGCCAAGATACACTGTGATTTCTTATGTCTGGGCTGTGTCACCCTGCAGAGAGCTCCTCAAGGAGAGGATCTTGCCTTCCTCATCTCTCCATTTCTCACATATGATGCTGGGCCAGGACAGAGCAAGTGCTCCAGATGGCAGCAGTGGAAAGAACCCTGGCTTTGAAGTCAGACTGATCTAGATTACATCACCGTTCTGCTGTGTACAAACTGTACAACCTTGGTCAAGTTATTTAACCTTTCTGAGTTCCATTTTTCCAGTGCCTACACATAGTAGGTGCTCAAATATTTGTTAATCGATAAGTAAATATTTGTTAACTGATATTTAAAGATAATACTACCTATTTCACAAAACTCTGAGGTTTATATGAGTCTATAGGTCAAACATTGAGAATCATATTTGTTCAAGGTCTAGCACACCATAAATATTAAAATTATCCCTTCCACTCTTCCTTCCCTATACCATATTGAATATAAAAATTTACATGTCATAATAAGAACTAAATATAAAGTAGGTGAAGGTGCTCATAATAGACACATGTAACCTTCTCTAGAAACAAAGATCATCAGCCACCATTCGAATTTGAGAACACCTCTCAAACAATTGTCCTAGTGGTAATAATGAACAAACACTGTGAGGATGGCCAGCAGAGATCTCTAGTGATTCCAAAATACCCAGTCACTATGGTCTGAATGTGTCCGTCCCCGCCTCTACCCCCGCCCACACCCCCCCAAATTCACATGTTGAAATCTGATCCCAAGGTGATGGTATTAGGTGGAGCCTTTGGGAAATGATTAGGTCATGAAAGTGAAGCCATTATGAATGAGATTAGTGTTCTTATAAAGAGGCCCCAAGAGAGCTCCCTTGACCCCTTCTGCCATGTGAGGACAAATGAGAAGTCTGCAACCCCGAAGAGTGCCCTCACCTGACCATTCAGGCACCCTGATCAGACGTCTGGCCTCCGTAACTGTGAGAAATAAATCTCTGTTGTTGATAAGCTACCCAGTCTGTGGTATTGTTATAGCAGCCAAAACGAACTAAGACAAATATCTGCCCCCTGAAATATCTGCCCCCTGAATATTCTGACCTGGCACAGAGACCTCTGTGCTGAGGCAGTGGGAAGGTGGGAGGGTAACCACAGACAAAGCCAAGTATGTATTCCTCAAAGGTCACAGAGCAAACACAGAACAGGTGGATAAGTGGGTGGAAGGACCTACAGGAGAACAAGCCGTTTTTTTTTAGTG